TTACGGAAAAATCAATTAACAAACGGAGACGTAACAGGTAGAATGGGACCAGTTGAAGCTTGAAGATGGTATTCTTCTCCGGAGATGGGAAACTGCAGATGGGAAAGTGACGACCTAACAAATGGTTATACCGAGAAAGTTACGTGAAGTTGTGCTGCGTCAATCCCATGATAGTTTAACAGGAGGACATCTCGGAGTTAAGAAGACAATGAGTAACCGACGACAGAGATTTTACTGGATAGGTATGAGGCAAGATGTGGAAGAATGGCACAGGACCTGCAGTACATGTTGTACTAAAAGGGGACACAAGCACAAGGGACGTGTTCCAATGAAGTTATATCAAGTTAGCGCACCAATGGAAAGAGTAGCCATTGACGTTGCTAATCCTTTGCCCCAAACTCGTGCAAGAAACAGGTACATTTGTGTGGTGATGGATTATTTCACCAAGTGGCCTGAGGCATACGCAATACCAAATCAAGAAGCTACAACTACTACTTCAGATTTGGTGTGCCATGCGAACTGCATTCAGATCAAGGCCGTAACTTTGAATCAGCTGTGTTCCATGAATGTTACAAGTTGTTTGGCATACGAAAGACCAGAACAACGCCACTTCACCCACAATCTGATTGGATGGTAGAACTGGACACTGGGACAGGAATTGGCAAAGTTTTGTAATAGCCACCAAGATGACTGGGATGTCTTACTCCCTCCACTGTTGATGGCCTATAGAACAACAGAGCATGAAGCCACTGGATACACTCCAGTAAAGTTGATGTTTGGTCGGGAACTTCGGTTGCTAGTGGATCTGTTAACAGGACACCCACCTTATGAAGAGTTGCCTGAAAATATGTCAGAATTCTTGAAAGTGTTATCGGAAAGGATGGATAATATTCACCATCAAGTGCGTTTAAACTTGAAAACGTTTGCTGATTCGATGACGTGACTTTCCGAATAAAATGTGGTCGGCGAGGTAAGCCAAAGGTGGTGCATGCCAACAGGCTTCGGCGTTATCATGGTCCAGGACATTTCAGTTGGAATGAAGTGACCAACGAAACAGACGACGCTGCTGAAGACTTATCACCTGAAAACGTCACTGTCGAAGAAAAAATTCTTCCCAGTTTTGAGAAGGAAAACAGTGAAGCCCTTAATGAAGTTACTACCACTGATGTGACTATTACCGATAATAGGACAATTCCCGATGGAGCAGATGAACCTCACGTGAAGCAGAAGCCAACGAGATGGAAACCAGTATGGAAGAAGATACGTCCGTAAAATTAAGAGACTTTGTTGAATTTTAATTTTGTGTTTGTAAATTCGGTATATTTAATTAAGTTATTGTTAATTATCTATTAGTTTAATTCAAGTGGCTATTGTTCGGGACGAACAATACTAAGGAAGGGGCAGTGTTATTACAGCGGAAGTCACGCGACGCTGGGAGCATGCGTGCTGGAGTTTCTAGAAGGATCATGACTTATCAAGGAACCCCGCAAATGTCCGAGTGTTTGCCAGGCGCCCTCTTTTTTAGTATATAAGCCCGGCAAATAAAGCCAGCAAGAGATATTTATAGATATGCAGATAGATTAAGATATAGTTTATTCTTTCTCGATACAACTTTATAATACACAGAATTTCCACAGTCACTTTAAACTGAACTTCTTTTATAACACACGCTACAAATTACAGCGATTCACACACTTTACTTACGGTGCATACTGTTCGCTTGACTCAATTATCTATATCTGCATATCTATCAATATCTCTCGCTGGCTTTATTTGCCGGGCTTATATACTAAAAAATAGGGCGCCTGGCAAACACTCGGACATTCGCGGGGTTCCTCGATAAGTCATGATCCTTCTAGAAACTCCAGCACGCATGCTCCCAGCGTCGCGTGACTTCCGCTGTCGTAACAGTATGTATCTATCAATATATGTGACCGAAATAATATATACTATGTGGCGCCGTCTATTGAATGGCACCCTAAATGAATTTCACACCTTGGGTATTCAAGCTTCAGACAATTAGAAAGATAAATGTGGTATATACAACAGCCATTTCTTTATAATTATGTCTGCGGACTTACAACGCTAGAAACCGGGTTTCGATACCTGTGGTGGGCAGAACACAGGTAGCCCTTTGTGTAGCTTTGTGCCTAACTACAAAAAACATTCTTTATAATAGAACACAATTTCAAATAAAAGTATTCTCCTCACAACAAGAACACGACTTTCACTAGGACTGTACGTGAGGGTTTCATTATATCTTTATTGATATAATTTTTAAATGTAGAACTGAGAAACTGGAGTTCTTAAAAACTAATCCTTTTTTTTAACAAAGGGTACCACTTTAAATATATAAAACATTATAATCTATAAGAGTAAAATTTGTGAAATGTTTGAGCACTGTACATTGAATCGTTTTGATGCAATGAGTTGCGTATGGCTAAAGAGAACAACCCAAACACTTTTTCCGTGCAGTATTTACAAGACAAAAGCCTTTTTTAGAAATGTTCATTTCTCCTAATTTTTTTCA